GTCGAGAAAGATCTGCACGACGAGATAAACTCGCACGGGTAAACCGAAGATCTGGACAAATGATGTGATGGAATCATCGAAGCTTGTTCCTGATACATTCGTTCGCACTGCGGTGGGTGCTTGCGTTAGATGCACTATTATACGCCTTGGAGCGTCCTACGACTCTCGAGTCTGCTGCTGTGACACGCCCAATGTGCGCCGTCTCCAGACTGATAACTCGTCCATCTTGCTTTGCCTGGCAGCGTCTGGCACCTGCTGTGCGACACTGGTCTCCACGGGTACGTAAGCACATTTGCCAATTGACCGTTCAGTCAATGCCGGCGTAGTCAACACGCAGCTGGGTCTGCAATTTGGCCTCGCAAGGGTGGACAGGGTCGGACAGGCTTCAACACCGGACGCATCAATTGCCAGCGGCCGAGTCCAGCCAGCGGGCTGAGAAGGAAAGGAGAAAATCGCGTGAGCAGTAAGGAGGAGGAAGGAGATCACGTTGAAGACAGACTGTCGCAAGTGGGCCCAGTGGAGATGCTGGGCGCCACCGGTCGCACGATCATTGGCCTGGTACAATCATCCCACGGCCCCATAACACTCATCCACGCAAACCTCCTCGATCAGGCCCCGTGGCCAGCGGACGCTGACTGGTTGGTGAGTGGGCCAAAGGAGTGACCCCCCACTGCGGTGCTTGATTCGCCAGCCCGATCAGGGTTTTCCTTGGAATCTTGGATTCTTGGGGCCATCCAAGACAGCCCGCCGCCTTCTTTGAGAATTCTTTGCCTGTTCTGTCAGGTTCTGGAAAATGTTCGTCAGGCCTTCTTTTTCTTTTCTTTTTTCTTTCTTTTTTTTTTTTTTTTGCCTGTTTCGCCGCACGCCATCCGAATGCAGCAACACCCCACTCCGCCCGTCGTATCTGATTGAGTCCACTCCGAAGGGACCTTGCGATCGCAACATTAAAAAGAAAAAAATCATGAAAAATTTAAAGACTTCAAAAACCGTAGCTGTGACACATCTGCTGTTGAACTGATCGATGCCTGCAGAGTGCAGGCCCTTGCAGACCGGTCGGCTTCAATCAAAGCGCAGGCAGCATCCGAGCAGCGTGAGTGGTGGGAGCTGGGCGTCAGAGCAAACGCCTGTCCTGGCATCAGGCCAGGATCGGACTGACTACGACGCTTGTGGCATAGTGTGGGTCCAATTTAGGCAGGAGGGCAAAGAATGGGTAAGACTGTCAGACAAGTCGCACGGTAAGATAACAGCTGCGGCACAAACGCCAGTTGCCTGTCTGACTCCGGCGGGCACGCTCTTTGTTGACGGAATCATTCGGGACACCAACGGTGTACTGGAGGAAGCTTGGTTGTTCTGATCAGGCTGGATTTGACGGAACTGTAGCACTGAGAGACTACTCCTGCATATTCCATTCTTCGCTCCTTGCCTCATGCTGCACCGCCGGCTTGGCGATCCGCAGATCCTGCACCGCTCAGCCAATCACAGCCGAGCCCCTCCCCCAGTCAGGCCGTCGTGCGCGCGTTCTCCAGAATCTGAGCTGCCCTTTCTCGTTTCTGCGCCTTCTCTGCTTCTTCCTCTGCCTTCAGCCCTTTTCAGGGACTTCAAAGCACATCATTGCTTTTTTTTGCCGGTCGCAGGCTCGCAGCAGTTCGGCGTCGGGCAGTCCCACTGCGACGGCCTGCGGCAGCTAAAAGACAATCTTTCAATTCCGACACTGCCCTGCTCAAAGAACCGCAACCCGGGATAAAGAGATAAAAGCCTTGTAGACTAGAGGCTGAATGAAAGCAATTGATTCATTCAGATGGACCTGATTCCGAGTCTTTGATGATCTCGGCCCGTATATAACTCGTCTTGCGTCCCGATTTATTTTCAAGATTTTCGTATTTCCCACATTATTATTGTTTTTATTTAGATTTTATATTTCTTATTCTGAAGCTTGTTGCCACTCTGGAGCTTCGTCTTGGCTGTGACCCTACAAATTCTGCACGAGTCCCTCCCTGTTCCTGGCGGGTTGTGTATTATAGTCCTCAATTTTCAACGTCGCAGCGTCATTTTTTGGATACACAAAGTCCATACGCAAGCCCAGTAGTACTTGTTTCGCCCACTCCGTCTACCATTACGACTACTACTACTTAATTCCCACCATTCTCCGACCCAACTTGAGCGATTTACACATCTTGTCCACTCTGAATCACGGAGTTCGCCCACTCCTGTCACCATTCCTTGCAGCATTTTGCTGTCGCATTGCATCATCACCTGGTAAGTGTGGTTTTTTTTCTTGTTTCATTCACTTCATCCTATCCAACAAAAATTGGATGGGCGATCTTCAGGAATCAACCCAGGCCTTCTTCAAATGACATTGCATGGCATCATCTCTGCTCCAACCGCCTTATCGGGGTGGGGTGCCGACCTCGGCCTGATAGGCGGAGACCCGTCAAGGTTCTGGCTCAGAGAGGATCGACCGCGGCGGCTGCTGATTGGGCGGCTCCCCTCTTCTGGGAGGGTTCTTTTCTTCTCTAGCCCAGCCTAGCCTAGCCCCAGCCCAAGTGGGCCGCCGTGCAAGTTGGCTGATCAGCGTCCATCACATCACTTCATTTCGCTCCCAAGTTCCCACTCCCTCGCACTCCAGTCGCTGCCTCGCTCCGTTATATGCCCTTTTCCTCCCTCCTCCCTCCGTCTGTCCCTGTCGTCATTAATAACCTTCTTTATCCCTTATCTTCTTCCCTACACCCCCCAAGTTAACCTTTTTGATCAACTCTGGGATGCGCTTATCCCGCCAATGATCCATCTCTCGCGCTCTCTCGCTCTCTTTTCCCTCACTAACCGCCCGCCGTTTCCTTCAGCTTTCACTCTCGCCGTCTGTCTGCGCTTTCATCTTTGAACCACCTCGAGGCAGACCTTTTACCACCTCACTCATCCACCGCCATCCATCCACATTATCCGGTGTATTCGACCCAAACAACTCGGGCTCTCTCGCTACCTCTTCAAATACTCCCAGCGAGACCGGCCCACTCTCCCTTGGCTCGACTAAGGGGGAAGAGTGCAATAATTTCACTCTTACGATATATACAAACGAGGGGACGACCGCTAAGCGAAATGCTGAAGAAGAAATCCCTTCACCCTCCTCTACTCTTTTGGCACAACACTCCCAGCTCAACACCAGACCTCTCCCCGACATCCTCATCATCGGATTCTGAGTCGGACGAGGACATGGACCCTTCTGGTTCACGTCCGTTAAGTCTGACTGTTCCTCAAGGCGCTTTCTGTTCCATGCGTCCGACCCTCGATGAGGTGCTCGCGAATACGGCACCTGCTCCTTACACCCTTAGCGCCTTCATGGCCTACCTTTCGCAGAACCACTGTCTGGAGACCCTGGAATTCACAATGGATGCGAAGCGGTACCGGGAAGCTTATGATGGCGTCAGCCGCCAACTAGGACAGTTCCCAATTACGACCGACTGCCCAGAGACCCGCCACTTGTGTATGCTCTGGCAACGACTTCTGTCCGCTTACATTGTCCCCGGATCCCCGCGGGAAATTAACGTCTCCAGCGAGGTCCGTGATTACATCCTTCTCAGACACGCCAACCAGGCTATCCCTCCTCCGCCTTCGATGTTGGACGCCGCGGTTAAGCTCGTTCATGATCTGATGGAGGAGTCGATTTTCATGCCCTTTCTGAACGCCCATTCATCGTCCACTCATGTGCTCCCCCTCGCAGACCCATTGTTCTCCCACGATGACAGCCATGTAACAATAGTTTCCAACCCGAGTCTGGATGAACACGCCGTCAAGCGAGTTCGCTCCAAGGGTGGCCGTCTTTCACCCCGTTCCTCGAGGGAACTAGGCTCACAGGTTTCCTCGAGCCCGCCTGCTGGCCACTTACCCCGCTCTAATTTCTCCATCAACGCAGTCACTTCTCGTGGCAAGTCCGTACACCGAACATCAAACCAGCCGTCAAGTACTGCCAGTGGTGACTCTACTTTGACAGATGACTCTGGCAGTCTTCAGTCGAGCACCGGGGAGCCGATGACTCCCCCAACCACCCCGCCATCTAGTGAACCCGGGATGCGAGCGAGCAGCCCCAAGAACCGCGTCGACAACCCTTGGAAGAAGATGGGCATGAAGCTTGGGTTCAAAAAGCGAGGCAACGGCAGCCAAAGCATGCGCTTCCCTCCGGACGAATGACTCTGGTTTGTTCCACGCACGATTTGACGTTATCACATCTCCTTGTCGAAAAGAAGAAAAAAGAAAAAACGTCTCGACATCACGACCAATATCGTACATCAACCTCTACCCACAATTTCCCTACGATCGATCCCCAACGGATCATGCCTGAAAACCGATACGAATGGACGGCGTAATGCACGGGCATTTTTATTACATATACGGAAGCATTTTCATATTTGGCGTTATTTTCAACAGCGAATGAGCGAGCATTCTTCGGTTTTGCAAAAGAATAGATAGAACGGTTCACCTGGAAAGGGAGGTTTTCTGCTCGGCGTTTGTTTTTCGTTTCTTTGTTGTGTTTCAAAATATTTTTCTCACGACTGTCTACTTGATGCATCATGCGCATATGCGAAAGCCGGATAGCCTTCGCATCATGAAATGGCGGGCCCTGATTTGTTGCACCTGTTTCTATAACTAGCATACACCCTTCTCCTGTGTGTTTTCGTATTCACGACATTGGCATTGGCATTGGCATTTACTTAGTATACTAGTCTAGATACCCAATGTGTGGTTAATACTTGAAGCATTATTTCCCAGCTCCTAAACTATCTCTTCTTTTGACTTATCGACAATATTGGGCCCGGCCGTACCTACTATGGACTACCAAATGGCATGCATATATGTAAGTATGCCTAACCAGAGGCGATATGCATAACCCTATGGCTCTCGCAGCCCCATGTCATTTAGTCCCAATCTAACGACGTTTCCATATCCTATCTTGCCCTTCCATCCCCTTCTAAACCCACCACGATACCCGTCCCATCCAGTCAAACCACCTATGAAGAAGAGGAAGAAACAACAACTCTCCCCCCAACTCTCGTCTCCAGCGCAGATCCACCTCCCTCCCCATCAACATCCCACCCGCCCTCTCTCAGCGAATCAATATACCTCTCGAACCGACCCCCGTCATTTAGGTAGCCCAGCGTGCGTGAGAGAGTCGCTAGCGCTCTCCCCGTTTCGTCCTGGCTGCTGCTACTGCCACTGCCACCTTGCCCGTCTTCTGAGTGCACTAGGAGTCGTGTAGCGAGGAGTGCATGCATCCATGCCTTCAAGTGGGACTTTGGCGTGCTAGATGGTTTGAGGAGGATTGTTGCATCTGCGTGTTTTTGATTGTTTGGGCTGCTGCTCTTATTGATACTGTGCGGAAGGTGCAGGAGGATGATGTAGTCCTCGTCATTACAAATGGATGTTATCTCCCTCAGCGGGAGTGTAGTTTTGAGCGAATTGGAGCCGGGTACGGTCGTCGTCGTTGTAGTAGTTGACGACGACGAATGTGAGAGGAATTGACGTAACGAAGCGCCAATCTGACATGATCCTAATGTTTCTGTTTCTGTTTCTGGTGATCCTGTTGAGGAGGATTTAGAAGCGTACCAAGTGAGCGCGCCGCCTGCGTTGAAGATCCGTTCTTGTTTTGAGACTTGCGCTGGGGTTAGGACTGATAATTTTTGCGTTTCTTTTGCGCTTGATTGGCGTTTTTGTTCCTGCTTCTGTTGTTCTAGGTTTGAGGCGAGGTCGGGAAAGTCAGGGTCTGAGGAAAGAAGGGTTGAGAAGACGATATTGGCCCGTTGTCTGTTCAGGGTAGTCATCTGTACAGAGCACACAGCAGCGTAGTTAAGAGATAGGTGAAGAGTCAAAAGGAGGATGAGAGTGATCCATGTTGCTGCGAAGCCCGTGATGTGGGAGACAACTAAGGATCCGACCAGCATCCCGATCAGAGAGATAACCGTTTCCTGCGATGAATCTTTCTATTTCGGGTAGGCAGTTTAGGTTAGCTATCCCTTCTGTAGTAAAGCGTATTTGAACGAAAAGGCAAACGCACGGCATTGATCTCGGCGAGGTTCCCCCATTTCGAAAAATGAGCACTCAGACTAGCTTTCGAGCTTCCTCCGGCGACGCCGCAGAGCGCACGAAGCACACCAGCGGCACTGAGAATAGTTACTCGACTGACCCCGGCCGGGATCATGGGCGACAAGCAGTCGAGTACCATGGCGAGATCGTTAAAAATGTCCGCTGCGAAGCGGTACATCTTACATTCCGGCTCGAGGGCCGTTCCGACGCGGTGCGCGAAGAGAATCGTTGCAACTCGTCCAGATGTATCTTGGAGGATGTGAAGAAGGAGAGCAGACGTTGGAGAGGCATCAGCATTTCCGACTCCCACGCCTGTATTGTTTTAGCTTGGCCTGATGCATGGGGCTTTTGGGTTCAGGACCTTGTAGAACGGCTCGCGATGCTAATAAGCCGGCAATGGAACTGCTGAACGCTTGGAGAGAGTCCTTGTCGAAATGAGCATGGTACATTTGCATCACGCGTTGCGTGCGCAACTTACGAATATTTGATATCTGTCCTCTATTAGTATCTGTAAGGGTAGAAGGTTTGGAATTAACTCACGGGACATAGTCATCGCTAACACTATGCGGATAACCTGCTGGAAGAAACACGTCTATTAAGAGACTTTGTAGCGAGCCTAGAGACCATGGTGCTGAGTTAGAGGAAGTATGCTGATGCATCGTTAGTTGTGCTTGAGCGAAGCGATTTCCTGAACTTACCGCTACATCTACGCGGCCGGCGACCTGGCCCTCTTTTTCACCGATGGGTGATGCAGGCCCTGGAGAGGGTTCGGAGTAGATATAGGTTGATGTTGGGTTATTGAGCTCGTCGACCTCGGTGAAGGTGATTATCTTCGTGGCATGAGTGTCCATGTTTTATGACCAATTGCGAGACATGCAATAATACAAATTTCCCTTGTACACGTCTGCTTGGCGTTGGAAATATCAATAGAGGAAAGCGTACCGAGGACCTAGGTACACGCGTGAACGAAGATGGCGATGACTGGTGAGATGGTTGGTAAGGCTCGGAGAAACAGCGCTTAATTAAGGGCCAGCGTGCCGTGGCACGTGTCGTGCGCAGTCGACCTCGAGTACCTTTTGGCTCTTTGTTGCTACATTTTTAATAACTGTCAATTGAGCAGTCTACAGCTTCATGGATGAACGACTGCCAAACAATCAATTGTTTTGACCTAAGTATAGATATGAAGCTGAGGAACCTTGCCTCTTGCATTCCAGGCTTTCCAACAAACAAGCCCATCTATGACCTTGATAACCTGATATCAAATATATCCCGCATAACGCGCGCCAGAAGAATAGTAAAAACCGCTAAGCACCAAGACTAGCAAAACCACCTGCGCCGTAAACAAGGAGATAAAAGAATGAAAAGGAAAGTCGCAAAGGCCGCGGTCAAGCCGACCTTTGAATTGCGTCGAGGTTCGCAAGCCACTGGGGCTGCTTTTAGCCTCAAACGACCTTGGGGATTGGGAGCGACCGTGGGGCGTCCTCCCTCGCGTCTCAAGCATGCCACTCGTCCATGTGTCTCATCCTGACCATCGTCATTGAATCATTCTGTGCAAAGATGATTTGTAGTAGAATCAAATGTATAGACTGGCGCCGCCAGTCTCAATGGCCTCGATTTCGGCCTCGCTGTAAGGGAGGCGGTGGAAACGGGTGGGGAGGTCGGTACGATCGAAGAACACGCCCTGCTGGGGTTGGATGGAACCAAGAGAAGCTCCAGGGCTACGGCCAATGGAGCCTTGAGAGAACGAAGCGCGTCCGAGGGGGCCGTGCTGCTGCGCCTTTGCACGGTAGGCGGCGAAGGAGTCTGGAAGGACACCGGTGGGAGAAGCCGGGTGAGGTCGGGGGCTGTGGTCAACAGATTCTGATGGCAGTTAGCGGCGGATACCAATTGAGCTGGATTTGCGCGAGGCACGTACGAGGGATAGAACGTCTGCCAACGAAGCGGATAAGAGGGGTCCGGGCAGCGTTACGCAGAGAAACGGTGGCACGCATTTTGAAGAAGGTGGTGGGAAAGAAAAGTTGGATTAACCGGAATTAAGGTTCTGAAGCCGGCTCGGGAAGGATCGAGAGACTGGTATGGATAAAGAAGAAGAGGATTATTATATTTACGGTAGATAGCCAGAAGACACTGGAGATGGAAGATTGAGAGCGAGAGGAGGGGGATGGAGAGCGAAAGAGGAGGAGCGGAAGCGAGGGAGGAAAGGGCTTGATAAGTTCCTCGAGCAGCAGCAGGAATGCTATCAGAACTAATGTGATAATATTTTCACTAATAGTTACCGGGTGTGTAACGCGAATACCGTTATTTACGCCCGCCCCGCTGGGGTGCTGACAGGTTCGGGGTAAATCTCAGTCTTGCATCCGATTATCGTTGTATCAAATGCCGGATGTTTTCTCAAAGTCGTCGTGCTTCGCCGCCGCTCACTTCGCTTTTTACCCAACCCGCATCGCCGGTGAGGAGTCAGGTTGTCAACTGAGGCGGAGGATCGCTGCTCGCCTTCTCCCCCGCATGATTCCTTCTCATCCCACCCCTCCAATTTGTTCGAAGTCGACACAATCATCAAGGATCGCCCTCCGCTCTCTCCCAGACAGGCATTCCGGCGACAGCTCCGACCATTCACGTGACATCTCCGAGAGCTCCCGCCGAGACGGTAACGAAACGCCGAAGCAACGACTGTTGTTGACTGGCGGGGATTGCCTCAACTCCGAGTCCAGTCACACCATTATTCAAGCTGCAGGGTGGTCAGAGTTTCCGTTGGAGCTCCCCCAATAATAGTCAGCATTATTATCTGGGGAGAAGGGATTCCGGCCATCGAACCATATCCCGTCCGACATCGTTCGACCTCCAAAATTTTCACAAATCCAGTTGCACCCTGCGCGGAAAACGTGGAAACCAGTGCCCGTTCCGGCTTTTCCCGCTGGTTATTTCCCACCCCGGCCGCAGCACAACGTCCCCAAATCCCGGCTCTGTGATTTTGCGACGCGACTCGCTTCGGACCCGACCCGATCACTGCCTGGTCATTATTGCTACCTAACATGCACGAGCTACTGCTTTTCGCCTCGGTTCCCGCCCACCAACACTATGAGCTGTTACAACAGCTGACCGGCCTGACAGCCATGCAACCCCGTCACCGTCTCGAAAGGCGTTTGATCTTCAAGGCAACTCGGAAGCCTGGCTTGGTCAATGCGCGCGGCGGCAGTAGTCGGGAAGTGCAGGGCGCTGATCTCGTACGGCTCAATAAGATGCTCAATGGGCAGATGTTCTATACACAGGTTGTTGGCCCAGTTTCCGAGGTTGATTTTAATTTAAAGCCCACATCTTCCAGCGGCTCGGATGCGCCCATGGCTGGGACGGATGAGGCCGCAGACAGTTCCTATGACTATGACAGCCAACCATGGAAACTCGAATTTAGGGACATCCCGGAGGCGGGAACTAGATCGACCATCACAGCTCGGCTGGCGGCCAGCGCTGCTCTCCCCAAAGGTGATATTGTGACGCCGATGAATGCCTGGGGGTATAGGTCAGTAACCCCCCCTTCACATTGTCTACAATCATATGTTCCATTTAGTAGTGGTATGTGGTTTATTGACATCTGCTACAGTTTCGTCACTGAGTACGTGGTGGAAGGAGATACCTTCATCCATAATGACATCGTAATCTTTCTGCATCGTGTGCTACAGTATCCGATTCAGGGCCAGGAACCACATGAACCGCGGCGACAGCTGCCCTCGTTCGGAGAACTGGTGCCCTTGGAAAGGACCGGAAGCTATGTCCTTCAGGCGGCCATTACAGTCCAGGATGGCAGTAATCAAGAGCTGATGAGAACTGCCTCTCAGCATTTATTTGGTCTTCGGGAGCAGCTTAAATCAGCTGTTCGTCTCGAGCAGGCTGATCGACTGTCTCTGGACACCCGCGCCAAGTAGACGGCGATATTTGCGTTTTTACTTATACCCCGGAGCAGGTCTCCAAGTAGATCCTTTGAGAATAAAATTGTATTTTCAAATTCGTTATAGGCCCATCAATTTTACGGAAAAGGAGGGCGACGTCTTTCTGACCGTCAGTAATATACGAGCTTGTCTATACAACATTGATTTTTGGTAGAGCATGTGACTTCGCGAATTTTAAGGACGCGTGGGCGCGTCAACCTAGAGCAAGTCAACCCATCTCACAAGTCACAACTTGATCCTCTGCCCTCAATCATTGACTCTTGTTTCGATATATCGGTACACTGTCTAAGTGAAACGATAAATCATTTATTTCACTTTAGCTTTCAGGATGGCCGGGGGAGGGCCTGTGAAGCGTGCTGCGTCGCCGAAGCCGATCTCACCACCACCCATTCGGCGGAAAGTCGATTCTACAGTGAAAAGTACGTAAAAGTTAAATTGTTTTCATTTGCATTCCTATTAACGTAGAATTTCTATTTTCCTAAGAGACTGTTGCAACTTCATTTTTCACGCCAGCATCGAAAAAGAAGCCCGAACCAATCACATGGAGAATTGTAAACAACTCTTTGATAGTCGGCAAATTCTCGCCGGAGTCAAGTCAAGAACGAAAAGCCTCTGACAAGCCACGGATAGCTGCCTTTGATTTTGTATGTTTCCTTGGTTGATTAGGTCCAGATGACATCCGTGGAACTGACTGTTCCTAGGATTCAACATTAGTCTCCACGGCATCGGGGAACAGGTTCCCCAGAAATGCGGCCGACTGGAAGTGGTGGAACCAAGGTGTTCGTTCGAAGCTGCAGAAGCTCAACACAGATGGGTAGGTCTAAATCTTAGCCGTTACCTACTTAGCTTGGACGAGCTGACAGCTTTCAGATACCATGTGACTATCATTTCAAACCAGAAAGCGATCAGCCTCAAGAAGGATAAGAAAGGCGACGATTCCAAGAGCCTGATAAACTTCAAAGAGAGAGTCTCGGCTGTGATGAAGGAGCTTGATTTTCCGCTCAGTGTGTACGCCGCGACGGAGGATGATGAATATAGGAAACCGAGAATTGGAATGTGGCGAGAGTTTTTCGACGATTATGATCTCGATGTATCCGGGATTGATACGCCCGCATCGATATTTGTTGGTGACGCCGCTGGACGACCAACAGACCATTCTTCGGTCGACCGGTAAGTCATACTCCTTCAAGAGAAACTAGTTCTGGCTAATAACATCAAGTGGATTTGCAGCAAATGCCAGCATACCTTTCAAGACACCTGAAGAGTTCTTTCTCGATGCTCCCCCCGAACCGGTCGTTGAATCTTTTGATCCATCGGTGTATCTAGAGTCTGATTCCACCGACGATGGTAAGGTTTCCATTGGCAAAAGTATACGCGATGGTTGATGTTAATGACAATGTTTGAGCATCAGTGTTGCCACCATTCTCACGAAAGAGCCCGTTGGAGCTAGTGATATTTTGTGGCAGCCCGAGTGCTGGGAAATCAACCTTCTATTGGAACTACCTCAAACCACTAGATTATGAGAGAGTGAACCAAGATATCCTGAAAACCGTGCGTTTCTTTCCTTTCCCCGCAAGGAATATTCCGAAAATTGACAAAGACGCCAGAGACCGAAATGCATTAAGGTCGCCAAAGAGCACCTCGCGGCCGGAAAGTCTGTTGTTGTAGGTACGTATAAACACGCAAATATTGGCCGAGTTTAGCCATGCAGAACACTCGGACTGTCCACTTCTATTCAGATCATGCAAATAATCGCCCTTGCATTTTTGTCCAACGTGGAGTAGCTAGCACTGCTTAGTGGGCATTTGAATTGTCAACCCAACCGCTCTGCTACCTACCGACCCGCTCACAACATATCAACAATTGATGTTTAGGTTCAAGCCATTGATCGCTGACCTCCCTCTTTCCTTTTTCCTAGATAACACAAACGCCGATGTAGACACGAGATCTCAATGGGTCGACGTCGCGAAGGAGGCCAATGTCCCGATCCGGTGTGTTTACTTCTCTGCGCCTCTGGAGGTCTGCAAGCATAACAACGCAGTCCGCGCCGCAAACACAAGCCTGGTAAGTCGACTTAAATTTCCCCATATTTGTATCAACCTCGTTTGCATTCGTCAAAGGCAATACTTGCCAAGGCCACTGTAGCTTTGACCGCCGAACTACTGCCTACCTCCACATATACATGCATCTACCTACATACTTGCATATTTACTCAGCCTACTAAAACCATTCTAACAAAATACTCTGCAAAAAAAAATAGAACCCCGAGTCCCGCGCTCTCCTCCCAGGCATTGCGTTCGGCGACTTTTCCCGCCGATTCACTGAGCCCACTCTCTCTGAAGGCTTCCAGGATATCATCCGCGTCGATTTCCGATTCCGCGGCGATGAGGAGGCCAAGAAGATATGGAAACAGTACTGGATATGATCCGCGACGTCTGTCCTAGCTTATTATATTTTCTGGGCTGCGGAATGGCTGGACTAGAGTAGCGTAGGGTTGGCCGTTTCCCTCCCTATACTGTCGCATATACCATGGTACTCATTCTATCTAATGTATTGAATATCCTACGAGACCAAGGAAGGTAGGGTCAGATCGACGACGATGAGAGTTGAGATCTAGATGCGAATCATCCGGCCGCATCTCCCATGGACTATGGATCAAAGCACCCATCTCTGTATCTATACAAAAGAACTAGACGCCACAAACTCAGCTGAAAATCCAAGGAAAAGCACCTACCTACCTATCTGCTAGTGCTTTATGCATATGCCATGCAGTACTGATGATCACTCTGTAACTGTGAAACGTTACTCAGGGCCTCGGCCTGGACGCGACCTCGTTTAATCAAATTCTAAAGGGGAAGAAAGCTTTGGTCTCTTCCTGGTGGCAGCCTGGTGCTGCTTGCTGTCTCTATTCCAAGTGGCTGGCATTCCTCCGACTCTTGCCCTTGCGCGCCGGCTGCTGTGTAAACGCAGGACAGGTTTGGGGGTAGGGTCCAGTATTGTAAATTTGACTTTGGAACCAACCTGGAGCTCTCCTGCAAGGGTCTGGTTATCGAATCTACCTCTGCGCACCTACTCCCGTCTTTTAAAACAAACAAACAAAGGACAAGTTTGAATCAATCATGATTATTATGAAAATTGAATATGTTTAGATATTATATTCAAGGGTTGCACGGCCGGACGAATTGATATCCGTGCCTTGTGAGATGAATCGACTGCTCTAAGAGGTACAATGGGCCACAGGCTGGAGGTCTCGTCCATTTCTTGTCAGTTACTTTTTTCTTTTCTTTCCTCCAGACGTTCCCGGGTATCATAACAGGGATAACAAAACCCTTGCAACCGTTCTTCCCGCCACCTTTTTTTTCCCCCACCTTTTCTGTTTTTTAACCCCTCGACAGAGGCTCATCATTTCGCCCTTTTTCCGCGGTTCATGCAAGGTATACAGGTGTAAGGAACGGAACTGACCACGACGTACAAACGCACCATTATATCGGGTAAATGGAGACCGTCCATCGTGTACTCATGCAAAAGGGTAGAGACACAAAGGGAAAAGGTATCAAGTGTTCATAAAGGAGTGGATTGCGCTCAGCGAGACAGTAGTCGCTGGCGCATCAGGTCATCAGTCATTATTGGATCATAGATCACAGCGTAGGAAAATGAAACGTAATGTGGCTGTATAAATCGCACAGACGTAAACATAATAAGGGAAGAGTTAGACATTAGTCATCGCACGCTTTGCCTCATCTTTCGAATTAGCATTTTGAGAGGCGTGGATAGCAATAAGATGTTGTACATCCAAGCCTCTCAAACTTGTTTGCTTTTTGGTTGGCTGTTGTCTTTTTATTTTTATTTTTGATAGACGGCCCGTGGCAATTTCGAAGTCGGCGGAGGCGAAAAAGTCTCTAGACCCGAGACACAAGATCTTGGAAGAATTTGAAAAAATTTCGTTTCAACGACCGATCCCGGCATCGTCCAGTTGCAGGCGCTATCTTCATAGGGCCGACAATTTCGCCATCGCCCAACTCGGGAAATTTCTTGTCGTGCAGAGTTGGGATTCTGACCTGCTCGCACGGGTCGCGGTGGTGAGACTCGATCGTACTCAGCACAGGCCCGTTCACATTGAGCTGGGCGAGCATCGCATCGTAATGCCGCTTCCATTCGCGATTAATTGACTCCCATTTTTCCTGCGTCAATTTGTAAATCTTCGACGTGATACCATAATGTTCTCCGGTCCGAACTAGGTGCTTCGTGAAATTGCACTGCGCCAAATCCCACTGGCTCCGCAACTGCTGGAACGATTCGACGTTGTAAACTTCAGGAACATAAGGCTCTGGCTGGATGGTGAAGTTAGCATGGCCGAGCTGAATCGCCCACTCGTCGTTTGGGTCGGAAAGAGTCAAAGGAGGAACATCCCCAGAAACAGTTCGGACCGTACTAGCTCGTGGGCGGTTGAAAGAGGCGATCGAAGGCTTGGTGGACAGTGGAGGAGACGGGAGGCCAGCCAATCGGTCTCGAAGTGCGTTTGCATCTGGGCTGGCGTTTGAAACGTCGGCAACAGACGGCGACTGCAACGGGGAGTGGATTTTGGATATGGGGTCTTCCGGCTCATCACCCATAAACGGCGGGAGTAGAGGTGTCGTAGCTTGCGGAGCGGACTCATCCAGTGGTAGTTGGTTCGCTTTAGTGATGTCGATGGGGCGTGCATTTGATTCGCTGACACGGTCTTCAAAGATCGTCCTCGCGGGCGATGGGGGAATCTGAGCGGAATCAACCCAGCTCGTCGGGCATGTTGTAGTTGGGCTAGCAGCAAATACAGATGCTGATGAGTTGGTCCGGGACCGGATTTGCGGCGAGAACGATTCCCCATCTGGGCCGTCGGATGCTCGTTTGGACTTCCAACGATTTGAGATGGTGGATATTCGCGAGCCAATCCGGGAAAGGCCATTTTCTGAGGCATTGTCGGAGCGCCTCTTCTTTGGGGAGTGAACCGTATCCATGCCAGCATCAGTGAAATCGCAGCCGTCGCAAGTACTGACTGTGGATAGGTATGAGTCTTCAGGGACGGATAGCCCTTGATCGAAGTGTTCTGCATGTCAATCATTAGTCGGGGATTTTTTTTTTTTTTTTAACTAATCAAAGAACCGCGACAGTGGAAAGGCAAAGGAGGAAAAATGAGGCTGGGAGCAAGGGCAGCATACGGAAATATTCCTCCTCTAAATCCCTCGCCTGCGATCCGCAGGGTTCCTCCTCTTTTACGCCTGTCAAGGGATTTCGAGTAGCGATATCCATCGAGTTTCCATGACCAGGGGATGAGACAAGCGACGACGCGGAACTTGAGAAGCGCGTATGTCCTTTGGCGGAAAACAAAGAAACGGCGGGTGAGACTGGAGTGGATGCGGTCAAAGGAGATTGGGGAGGCTGGCGAGAGGGAGGCGAAAGGTCGCGCATTGTGTCAATGCCCTCGTGCCGCCTGGCCTCGAGAAGCTGCGAGAGCTTCAGCATTGCAGGGCGTAGTTGTATTGGACGATCTAGAACTAGGCCTGGATCTTGATTCTGAAATTGGTGCGAATTTTAAGGTTCCGATGGCCGATCAGTGAGATTGTTCACGTGCGGCAGGTGTCGGACAGAACAAGAGACGAAGAGGTGGATTTAGGGAAGAACAATCATATCGGGAGAGACAGAGAGTTCAATAAGAGGACGACGATGAAAAAAGTGGTGGGTAAGGTGAAGGTGGCGGAGAGAGATTGTAGGAAGTGAGGAAGGCGATGATGGGAGGAATTCCGGCTGTTAACGCGCGAACAGTCGAAGTAGAGAAGGAAGACGGGGCAGCCGAAAAGGCAACGGGGTTGAAGAAGAAACTGCGAGAGCGGTGCGCACGGAGCAGCAGGTGCAGGATTGGTGACTATTATTATGATTATTATTGAGAAGGAAGAAACTGCCAGTGCTGAGGAAGCAATCGGTCTGTAGGGCAGCAGTGGCCGTGGGCAGGCGACAGGGAAAACGTGGAGCGCGCTGGCTGTGACTCGTTGGTGGAGGGGCGACAGTTGGCTCAGGCTGGCTGGCAGTGACAGCTCAGCAGCAGCAGTCAATCAGAAAGAGTCTTGTCGCGAGCGTGTTCAAGGGTGAAATCCTGAAGAAGCTGTCATACGAAGAAATTCTCATCGAGCGGAAGAGACGAGAGAGTCAGCAAGAGAGGATCAGGTCAGGGCAAAATCCACTGTCCAGTCGCGACCGTCCCAGAGTTCCGTTTGTTGCCACGACTGGCTGAGCTATACAGCGGTGGTTACCCGGTGTCACAGTCTGAGCTTAAGCTGTCTGATATAGACGCTCCGGTTCCATGCTTCTATTATGTATCTCTCTACTTCAGACTCGCCTTCATACTTCCCATACTTGCCCCCCAAGCGTCAAGCCGTCGCAAACAGATGACGCCGGCGCTGCACATCACGAATCTAAACACACATCAACTAACAAACCCACAAACCGCTCTGGCACTAAAATTCGTCTAGACTCCGACCGACTCGACTGGTCCAACCCGCCGGGTTTCTTCTTTGGCGCCGTGCGACCCATCCAGACGAGGAGCGCAACAGCCAAAAATACCATGAGCTATCAAGTCGACCACAGACAGACTCACTCTGACTGTCTCTGCATTGATGCATATATATCCGAAGGGACTGGTCCTATCTTCAATTGGCCTCCCAGTGAGCAGCGTCAGTGTGTCCCCGACCTTTTCTTGATCTTTTTTTTTCTCTCGAGGCGCAGCCCAAACCCTGCGCTGGGCAGGATGGAGGGTTGGACCCCGAAAGGCTGGGAACCCATGGATTCCTCCCGGCGCCAGGGACTTTCCCATTGTGGTTGGCCAAACGCCGCGACGGCGCGGCGTTGCGAAGAATCTTCGCTCATCAAGACGTCTTGAAAAAGGCTCACTGTGAGTGGCTGCCTAGTACTTGGCCGGCAACTCCAAATTTTCGGTACCGACGTCAAGCCCACATGGCGAACAAAGCCGCGTTTTGGTTCGCTTCATGGCTTCTGTTTGAAGTTCTGAACCATGGTTCGGATTAACCCTTTCAAGGCGAGGCCCTGACAGCCACACAAACGGCTGGCGCAATGGCGGATGGTGCTTCCAGAATACCCCAACCATGGAAAAGATGACAGTGTCTTTTTTTGGAGTCAACGAGGAGTGGCTCTTAGCATCCGACCGTCCCCTCTGTTCCCTTTGGTGTCTTGCATTTCTGGCTAATAATAATCTGGAGACTTGACCACACCGCGCGGCTGTGAGACTCTGCTTTACTCTCAACTGGGCCGACAGCTGAGTAACATGGATAGCTGTGCGTTAAAATGCTCAAGCTCGCTTAAGCTCAGTTACCGACGATCGCAGGAAAAATACCAGGTTGTCAGACAGTCAGACGCAAGATGACGCCGATGACGACGATGGAGCAGCCCCGGGAAGAAGCCGTTGGAACCTGCTCGGTCGCATGACTCAGCTTACGGGCTGCAGTTTGGGTCTCTTCCGCTCCCCGAAGCTTTCTGCTGGATCTCTGCTTGGCGGTCATCCCGACATCGGAGGCCCAGAGCATGAGATAAACAGAAGCTCTGGGATAGTTTGGTTTGGTTTGAAGTATGTAGCTTCGCTTAGCACGTTCAATTGCGTTTCAAAGAGTAGTTTGTAGAGCATCAATCTGCCCCAAAGCCGTCGGATCCGCGGGAAAGTGCCTGTGGACCTTTCCCCGCATCAGCGACAATT